CGCTGAGATCTTCTTCTCTTTTGATGACTCTCTTTACGAAGGGCGCTGATGTGGTCGTTCCATCAGTGAACGGAAGGTCTTGTGTTCATGCTACGTCTATGAGACATACTGGCGTCACACGCCTGGGTCGCTCTTTTCATCAGATCCTTAGTCTTCTCTTCTGCGCAGCCCGCGATAATCTGGTCACTATTGAGAGCTACTAACAATGCACTTGGGTCAAGAGTTTTTACCTTCCAACCAATGGTGTTAAGTTGCTCTTTAGGTCTTCTCGGGCTCTGGGCGTTTAATATTTCCCCGAGAATCGCGTTGTGGTCGCTGGCTATGTAGGTATCCATCACCTTCCAGTTGATATTACCTCTGGTGAGGCTGCCACTGACGAAAGTGAGATCTACAATAGAACTTGCGTCTCCCTTGGTGTAGGTTGGTGTATCACCACTGTTGAGCAGTACTACATCTAATGTAGAAAAGGCTTCTAGTAATTCCTTTCCTCGCGTGTTTGTATGCTTGCTTCCCCAGTCTACGGCCCAGGCGTTGAAGTCCCCAGCTATTGCCACTGGGTGGTAATGCTTCGCGTCCTCGGTAAGTCGATCCAGAAATGCGGTGAATTCGACAGTAGTGAGGCTAGGTGGTGCGTAACAGCTATAGAAGCGAATGCCCTCTACTGATACTGCTACAAAGCCGGCATTGCTGTTGTCGACCGCATTTTGGAAAGGGAGCTTGCCACATGACCAGATGACAGCTTTGGATGTGCTGTCAGATTCCCAGGGTTGGATACTCAGGTGTTTATATTGCTCTGCTATCAGTACCAAGTCAAGCTCTAGTTCTCGCACGGATTGCATGAGCAGGTCATGCGCTGCCTCACAATGGTTGAGATTGAGCTGCAGTATCCTCATGCTTGTTTGTTCGTCAACTTCTGGAGTGCATTCTGAAATACCGGGCACTTATGGGTACCGGCATGGTGGGCAACATTCTCTGCACTTTCAATCTCAGCACATAATGCACATTTGGCTGGATTTTCGCAATCAGCAATCTTGTGCCCTTCTTGTCCGCACCTGATGCAAAGCCTAGACCCATCAACTTTGCTTTTGCACTGGGATCCGAAGTGCCCAAAATGCCAGCATTTGAAACATTGGACAGGTCTCTTTGTTGCTCTTATTCGACAGTTGACCCAACCAATTCTCACTTTGCTGTTACCTTCTAGTAACTTCTGTGCAGTTGTCGCTGGTAGCGTCACTGTAGCAGTCTGAGTACCTCTGTAGGCTTTACGGATCTTGATCGACTCCAGAGGTATTTCACAGGTTTCTCCGGTTTCTTTTTTCAGCGCAATTTAAAAATTATTAAACAGGCTGCCAAAAATTTGTCTTAGAACGATTCTGTAGAGTTGTGAGAGGTAAATAAAATAAAATAAATAACGTTTATCTCTCAGAGCTCAACGATGTAGAGTTGCAGGAGCCAAACGGTATTGTTACCATAAGAATACGTTAACCTACTGGAACTTTTTACAACTAACTAACTACTATAGAGTTCCTATAGCAAAATTTTTTTCTCCGTGCAAGACTCATAAGGATCAGCACCAATAGTTTTTCCAACAATTTTTAAAATTTAGTGGGACTGGGCGACACTTGTCATTACAACAACGATTGTAGCTGAATATTGTGGCACGCACATTGCTCCAGTGAGAAGAAATGTACTTGCAGATCAGACGCTATTCAAGTCGGTCAAAGATGTGAAGCGTTTATAGGCGGGTTTTGCATTTACAATGAACAATGCACTCCAGAAAACTCTATTTGCTCGAATAAAAAATGCAAATGTAGCCACCGCTACCTAGCCGTAGCCCATAACCTTTGCATACGAACTACGCTAGGAGTTCCTTGCGCAGATAACCCATCTTGTTCAGGGATAAAAAACGTTGTATGCTCAGATAATGTTTGCAGTTGTCGATCGGGAACAATGAAAGTGAGTTCAACCATGTGTGGAAAATTCTTGGATAGTGTTTGCCAGCAAGATGATGACTGTGGTCCCGAGAACTCTATTTGTGTTGACAATCATTGCAAATGTGAACCAAATTTTTTCCGTGAAGGCAACTCACAGTGTAACTCACGTATGTTAATTGTTTTTATTGATATTCCGAGATGAAAATTGAATTTTAAGGTGTCTTATTGATGCAGCTCAACTGAAAATGCCTTGCAGCACATACACTGACTGCAATAGTTTGATCAAGCATTCACTGTGTTCAGAAAATAACAAATGTGAATGCTTTCCAACTTATTTTCGAATTAATGAAACAGCGTGCGTGCCCTATCATGAGTCATATTGTTCAGACAGCGATCCATGCAAGCTTGAAAATTCGGTTTGCATCAACAATTTGTGCCGATGTGCTTCTCATTATAGTTACATTGGGTTAAAATGCGAACCAAGTATTTATATTCATTTATTTATATAAAATTATTTTATATTTTTGCACAGCTCATAATGCTAAGCATTCCATTTCTCAGAAATAGAATCCCATAAAAAATTCTCAGACATGACGATATATAACCTGTTATGACCAATTTATATACTAAGCCATATCTGATATATGAAGACATCAAAAATTATATATGAGCATATCAGACCATATCAGGCTATATGTGGACATATCAAACCATATCTGAAAATTTTTTGATGCATTTTACGTCGTGCAATTTTTCAAACTATACTCAAACTATTTTTTTTCTTTAATATATTAAGCATTTTTGGATAAACCATTTAAGCAACATATTAATGGAGACACCCCAAGTTGTAAATCATTATTAAAGGGAATATGCTATAAAAACAGTGATTGTTTTGTTGAAAACAGTATTTGCATCAACAACAAATGTCAATGTAAAATCGATTATGCACCTGACTTTAATAACCGATGTGTATCAAGTAATAATTATTTTTAGTACCTTCTCAAAAATTATAAAAAAATTAGATAATTCCTAGCTAACTAGTTCTCATTGATTTTCCAGAATTAAAGACAACTTGCAACGTCGACCATGAATGCAAAACACTCTACTTCCAACAATGCTCTATCGATATGAAGAATACTTTTAATTCCAGTTATACTTCTATGCATAATTTTAAATGCAAGTTGCAAATAGGAGACAAATGTAGGTTAGATGAACAATGTACTCCGGAACATTCTCGCTGCATTGATAACTGGTGTCAATGCAAGCCGAAATTCGTGCCATCAGGAGTTGGTAATAAATGTGTGTCAGGTATGTTCAAAACGAATGGTCATCATTGTTAGATATGTTTGAAATAATAGCACTTGATAATGCAACATTATATTTTTGAATCAAGTTTACTCAAACAGAAAATGTACAACTCATGACGATTGTGCTCACATTCAAAACGGAATGTGTTCGGATGACAATGTATGTATTTGTGAAACAAATCATGAGCAAACAGATGAGAATACATGCTTACCATTTTTGGGTCAATATTGTGACAAACAGACAAAATGTACGACCGACAATGCTGTTTGTTCTTATAATACATGTGCATGTGACACTTTATTCACGCAACAATCTATTAACCGTTGCTTGCCAAGTGAGTATTGTCACATTGAATCAATATTAAATATTTTAACAAACGAAAAAAATGAAATCAGCTTGCAATTCACTAATTGTATTTCAGCTTACTTGAAACAACCTTGCAAGCTGCAAGATGATTGCAGACAAATAAAGTACGCAGAATGTTCCAAAGACAATAAATGTGTTTGTCGTTCAAATTACATCGAATTAAACGCTGTGACATGCGCACCATTTTTAGGAGGATACTGTGAAAGCGATGAAGAATGTTTTGTCAATCAAACAAAATGCATCGATAATAAGTGTGCACATGTTCCAAATGCTAGACCTCGAACCATCGAACAACATCCACGTATGTATTCAAACATATGATAAATTCCAAAAACAGGCGATAAATATCTTTTATATCTTAACATTGCAGCTTCTTCGACGCGTAAGTGTCAAGACGATAGAGATTGTCTTTTTGTAAAAAACACAATATGTCTTTCGAATGGCGGATGTGGCTGTAAGCTGAATCACATTTCAGTAAACCAGACACTATGCTTGCCACTTTTGAATGAAGATTGTTCAAATTCTCCATGTATTGTCGATAATTCGTATTGCATTAAAGACCAGTGTCAATGCGCGGATCATTTTGTTCAGCATTTAAATAACAAATGTTTACCAAGTAAGTATACCTATTTTCATATGGAACTTGAAATTTTGGTGGTAACTGAAATCTTTCCTTTAGCTTGGTTGAACGAGCCTTGCAAAACTGACGCTGACTGCAAGAAAATAAAGAATGAAATATGCTCAAAGAAGAAAACATGCGTTTGCAAAACGTCATTTAATCAATTCAGCTTGACGAGGTGTACATCACTTACTGAAGAATTTTGTACGTCAAACAAGGATTGTCCAGTGGAGAATTCAGCATGCACTAATAACTTCTGTGAATGCAAACCTGGCTTCGAAAAACTCTACAATAATCAATGTATACCACGTAAGTGACGTCAAAAATTTTTAGATTCATGAAAGATATTTTTTTTTCTCAAATTTTACTCTCGAGATATTATGTTGTCTTAATTTAAAAAGTTTGCTGATACATGAGAGCCTCATAGCGTGAAGCGCGTGAGATTGTGCTCTATACCCGACTCGTCAAGGTCAAGCAATTTTGTGATCTTTAAAGGCCTCTATCACAACCATATTGCACTCATACAATAATGTATAAGTAGATGTACACCGAGAAAGCACTTTAATTAAACCATCTTTTACTTTCTAAAATCATTTCTTGTTGCTATTTTGAAAAAAAAAAACGTTTCGAAAAAAATTTTACGTGGACGTCCTGATGTCACCCCATTTTGGATGTACCAACGATTACTCCCGAACAAATTGATATTTTGAGACCGGGCCTTTTTTATTAGTTTAAGAATTCGATGAACTGGTACCGTATTTCATATCAGCAGCATAGTTTACGTATTTTTTTTTTAAATTAAATTTTTATTAAAATTTACTACGATACACACGTACAAAAACAAACGAACTTTTCTTATTTCTCTCACGTGAAAACTATGGTGCCACTTGATCCAGCTAGATTTTTTTGGACTGCGTTCACATATGACAAGAAAAACGGGCGCCGATATTTAATAAAAAATAAAAAATACTCTGTAACAAATTACTTAATCATTGTTTTTTTTTTTAATCAATTACACAATTTACTTTTTTTTAAAAAAAATGAATGAACGTTATGAGGCATGCACTTTTGGATTTTCCAAACTTTTTTTTACTTTCCATTCCATTAAAGTCAGATACATATTCAGCATATGTAGAACTCAAATTTTAATTTTTTTCAAAGATTTTTCTGTACATTGAATGAAAAAATTTTCATTGGAGCAAAAAAAAATTGAAGTTTTTTTTTGAAATCTATTTTCAAAGTGCAAACCTTTAAGAATATGCCCTTTCAAGGATTTTTTGAAAATCCTATTACTTCCAGAGATATAGCTACTTTAGTGACGTAGAATTGAGATAGTCTAGGCGGAGCCTAAAATTTAGAACACATTTTTCTAGAAAATATTTCTTTGAAGATGGGTGACATGATACCTCTAATTCAACTGAACCGATTTACGTAAAATATGGTGTGGGCTCTTTCAATACTTTTCTTTCTGGAATGAACTCGATTTATAAAAAATTACAATTTTTACTATTTTCAAAAAACTCGAAAACATTAAAAAAAAAACTGGAAAAAGGTTGACCCTAAAGCCATCCCTGCAACTTCCCGCTAATTCCATATCTAAGCGCTTAAAATTGGACTTATGACGTTTTTGAGCTCTTCGAGCTCATAAATATAATTTGTATATTATTTTGAGCTCTCTGAGCTCATAGAGTTAGCTGTTCTAAGCTTTTAAGCTCTTCGAGCTCAAAAGTCTGATGGTAGTTTAATAAAACAATATTTTTTGAATTTTCAAACTGCAATAATCTCTGAATGAATGAACTGATTTTCACGCAGTTGGCAGTATTCCACACAGTTTTTTCAATTCTATAATATACGTTTAAGCACAAAATGATCGAACCGAAAATCTTAGAGAAATTTAAAAAATTCACTTTTTCCGAATTTTTTTGACAACGATAACTCACAAACCAATCAACCGATTTGCACGTTCTTGGTGACGATCGACGTGTTGTTTTGGGCTCTAATAATTATTCTATTTTATCAAAAACGATCCAAAGAGAAATGTCGAAGTTATGTGACAAAAACACTTTTTTCGGAATTTTTCGTTTTCGATAACTCTTGAACGAATCAACCGATATTGACGGGACTGGTGGCAATCAACGTGGTTTTTCGAACTTAAGAGCGGATTAGTTTTTGGAGTTAATCGATTAAGCCGTTTAAAAGTTATTAAAAAAAAACGATTTTTTGAAAATTTTATTTTTGAGATTTCTCAAAATCTAGCGAACCGAATCAATTCAAATTTTTACGAAATTTAATGGCAATGATACTCTTTGTATCGCCACCTATTTCGATCCGATCGGCCGAGCCTTTCAAACGTTATGAAAAGTTTACACACACACACACACACACACACACACACACACACACACATACAGCCGCACGGACACCATCGCGGGAAGAGTCAGGGAAGCTTCCTGTGACCTTCAAACATCGAGATCTGATGAAAACCCGATTTTTGCAAAACGGGGTAAAACCAATAACTTCCCGATTTTTGAAAATTTTCAATTTTCTTAGCGGGAAGTTATAAATCTGGAAAACGATTGACCCTGCAGGCCATCCCTAGAACTTCTTACTAAGTACGAGTTCAAAACGCCCGAGAAATAATGTAATCCAAGGGTTTGAGCTCTTCGAACCGACTTTTTTCAAACCGACTTTTTTTTGGTTCATACGATAATGGTATCGTGACTGATTACACGGAGAAAATTAAATAATAGCAATTACTATCTAGTTATGGTAAAAAATTTTACCATCAACCCGATCGTAGTGAATAATATCTAGATGATTGTAGAAAGTAGCATTTACCATATCTATAATAACTGTTACAATCCTGTATGTTAACTAGAGTTAGTTACTATTATCATCCTAAATGGTTATATTTATAATTTCTGATGGTAATCGTTACCATCAGGAATTATAACAGTTACTATCTAAGGGTGTAAGTAGAATTTAAACATCAGCGTTTAAAAACCACGGTCAAAAACGTAAATATATGCTGAAAGAAAAATATTCACTGCAAGTTTTACATAAAGATTTGTTTTAATGGCTTATGATGTGGATTTTTTTATAGAGAAATAAAAACAATAACTTTTGAACATATCAACTTCTCAACTCAATTTTTTTTAATATTCTCATCTCCGTGATGAAAACTTGCGAAATAAAATTAATTCCTTGTTTTTTTTTGTAATTATTTTAGGTTTATTTTTTGTATTTATCATTAAGTTTATTATTTCAATTTAATCTGGTACTGTGAAGTACATAAATTTCTTTCTGTTGACGTTTAATTGAAAATTGAAAATAGTATCAAAGTTATTCGTCAACACTATTACATATTTGAGATCTTACTTTTAGAATTAAAGATCAAATAAGTAAGAATAACTTCTTCAAAATTTCTTGAACATCGCGATGTAATAGAATTCAAATTCCTAATTGCATTGTTTGATTACAGAGATGGCGATTTCTTCTTGTAGCGATGATCTGGAATGTGGAGAACCCTGGCACGGAGAATGCTCAAATGAAAAAAAGTGTTCATGCAAAGAAAACAATGTGGCGATCAATATTTCAACATGTTATCCGCTTCTAAAAGGTCTCTGCTGGCGCGACGAACAGTGTGTCACAAAAAATTCTATTTGTCTCGATTATCATTGTTTGTGTGAAGCTGGCTACATTCCCGTCGCCAATAATTTGTGCGTCAGAGCGAATTTATGAAAGTGTTTTCTTCTATCAACAACATCAGTACCTTCATGACCCGCTGAGCTCTGCAGTTTTAATATATCCCTGGCTATCAGCCCTAATAGCCAAACCGGTCGCAACTTTCCGTTGATTTGCTGCAGCAACTTGTCACCAAGTTGGCGGCAAGTCTTGGAAATGAACTCGGTTGTTCACCAAGTTGTCGCCAAGTTGTCGGCAGAAATTGCTTTCGAAACTCTTTCGCACCAAGTTGACGACAAGTTTCTCAAGAAATTTGGCGACATATTGCGGCAGTAGATTATTCTTGTTTTTCTCAGAAACTTGTAGCCAACTTGACGCCAACAGTTTCAAATTCGGAAGTTGACCGCAAGTTGTCGGTAAGTTGGTGGCAACTATCTGACACCAACTTGGTTGGTCTGAAACTGTAGCTATCAGGGAGATAACCCATAAGAAAGCATCTATCGACAACAGCAAATCTTCTTTTATCTCTCGCTGACATTATTTTTTGAGGGTTCGAACTGCATTATCCAGAGCGAGAAGCTTTTTTATCCACGTACGTTTATAGAGAAGACTTCTTAACGACAACTGATGTCATCAAGATGACTTACCATATATAAATAACTAGAATAAGTACTCGCAATATTTAATTTTATTCTATTTTTGATATTCAAGAAAGAAATTCGAGAAAATCTTACATTTTATGACCAGGCATTATAATTTTTGCTGTACGAAAATTTTTACAACATATGAACCCGTGTAGAGAGGCTTACAGTGAGAGCGCCATAACCCTAAACTCACCATGTCGTTTGAAACTTTTTAATCTTTATAAGATCGATGAACTTAAATGAATTATTTGTGAACTTAATTTGTAAATAGTAATGAAAGTTTTTAAGTTAAAGATCAATAAATTGATTTAATTGTTTTGTTATTTAAAATTGTCTGAAATAACTTGAACATAGAAGCTGAATGAGCACTGTTATTATAAAAATCTTCAATAGTAATAAAAACTAAAAGAAAAATATATTCATTAGCGTTTGTCGATGTCTTTTAATAAAAACAAACATTAAACATTTTTCATTCTCTTTTTACTATTCTACCGCTTACCACTCTCCCGGGAATGGTATCAGAGTACGCGCAATTATTAATGAATCGCAGCTTTGCAATTGGCATAATGAGCACCACTCGATTTCTGCTACTTATGGGCTTGCTATTATCTGCTATGAGCTGAGATAGTATGCATTGATGTGCAAACAATGATACACTCAACCGCAAATTTAATGCGGGAAACCGTTTACTTATACGTTATACTCGGGTTTATTAGACAATTACGAAAGCATTGGCTTTCTATTTTGTTACAATTTGTACAGAAATCAGACTTGATGTGTTTTTTAATTTAAACTTGACTATGAATTGTTGTTTAATAAAATAATTTTATACGTTTTTTTTTTCTTACTTTAACGTTATAAGCTATAATAATTTCGTTGAATCAAAAAATGAACTCAATTTTATGAAATTTAATAATGACATTTCAATCTTTATTTGTCTTGTCGTCATTCCTTTAGTAAAGGCATAATTAATAATTTTGATTTCTATGTTCCAGGCAAACATGTGTAATTTTTTTCTAAAAATACACTTTTGTAACAAGTGAATATGAGCAGTAGTATGCGTTTTTTTTTTTAAATCCATATGATGAAAGTACTAATATATTACGTAATATAGTATTATAAAAACAAAGTGGAATTTTGTGGAATATAAAATTTGAAAAAATGAGAAATTTATTGACATTTTTGTTAAATTTTTTTTTTTTAATTTAAATCGAAAAGAAAATAGTAAAATTTAAAAATGCACTACTCATAATTCTCATTGAATTTCGAATAATAAATGTATTATATTGCTAGTTTATAGAATAAAGTGGGAAAGAAGTAAATTTAATGTTATCAAATACTTACGTAATTTCAATTCTAATATTTCGCGACGTTTTTTTACACAACTCAGTTCCAGCTGTAACTATAACCTGCTACGCATACGAAACAAAACTTACCTTATGTATTTAACATATAATAACAGCGTTTTCGTTTTTCATTAATTATAATTAAATAGTGCCGAACTAGATAGCAAATTCTGATAGGAACGAAATGAGTGTAAAAAAATAAAAACTTGAATTATGGATTTTCTGTAAAGTTATCGTGTTTGCAAGATACGAACATGTTTCCATCGTTTGGCGGGAACAAATTTTTAGTTTATTTTGATGATTTTTTCTGTTTCTATTACACTAAATAAATTTTTGAAAATTAAACAATCAACCTTGATTGAAATATTTGTTTGATGGTATACACTGATAAAAAAATTGATTTGATTCAAGAGCCAAACTCTTGAACCAAGAATACCATTTTGAAGAAAATGATTTTCTTGAGTCAAGAGAATAAATTCTTGAGCTAAACAATTATTCTTAGTCTAAGAAAATTTTCTTGTTTCAAGAATCTATTCTCTTGACTCAAGAAAATCATTTTCTTCAATATGGAATTCTTGGTTCAAGAGTTTAGCTCTAGAGTCAAGTCAAGTTTTAACTTCCCGCTAAGAAAATCAAAGATTTTCGAAAAATCGGGAAGTTATTGTTTTCACCCCGTTTTGCAAAAATCGAGATTTCAACAGATCTCGACGGTTTGAAGCCCTAAGAAGCTTCCCTAACTATTTTTACGATGATGTCGGTACGTCTGTATGTGTGTGTGTGTGTGTGTGTGTGTGTGTGTGTGTGTGTGTGTGTGTGTGTGTGTGTGTGTGTGTGTGTGTGTGTGTGTGTGTGTGTGTGTGTGTGTGTGTGTGTACGTATCGAAAGGGCTTCACTAAACTTAGATGTCCTGTAAGTTGGAACCGATTCGGACCAGTAGATTTCGAGAAATTGCAAAAAAAGTGAAAAAAAAGTTGTTTTTTTTCATGTTTTTTAAATATCTGCGAATTGGCTGAACCGATCGACCTCAAGAACTTATCAGCTCTTAACCTTGAAAACCAGCATCGATCGCTACCAAAAGCGTCAGAATCGGTTGATGCGTTCGTGAGATATCGTTGTCGAAAAAAATTGAAAAAAGTGTTTTTTTTCAATAACTCTGAAATTTTTCATCAGATCAATTTATTTGTTCAGAATTATTTATAGAGCTCAAAAAACTACATCGATCGCCGTTAACCGCGTGCAAATCGGTTGATTCATTCAAAAGTTATAGCAGTTTAAAAATTTAAAAAATCGTGTTTTATCGAACTTTGATAAGATTTATGAGTTCGAAAAGCTCAAAAGCATATTAGGAAAGCTATCTCTTTGAGCTTGGAGAGCTCAAAATAACACATGAGTTATTTTTTTGAGCTCAAAGAGCTCAAAAACGTCATAAGTGCAATTTTAAGCGCCTAGGTATGGAATAAGCGGGAAGTTGCAGGGATGGCCTTCAGGGTCAACCATTTTCCAGATTTTTTTATCAGTGTATAAATTGTGTTAATTTCCTTGTACTAACGAGAATTCGCCAATGAAAAGAGTTGCTAAGAGGAGACGAAAAAAAATTTTCGATCGTAGAGCACTCTCTAATTATTCGCATTAAGCAAAAAACTTTATTACACCATACTTTTATGGCGTTGAAACATATTTCAAATCACACGCGTTTACGATACGTCATCTATTTACGGCATTTTCGCCAAAATAAGCTGAAGGAAAATTGAAAGGTTATACATTGTTTTAACGTTTTATTATTAACTGCTCATTTTTTCGTTCAATTATATCGTAAAAAATTAGGAAAACGTTGGACCCTAAAGGCCATCCCTGCAACTTACTGCTAATTCCATATTTAAGCGCTTAAAATTGCACTTATGACGTTTTTGAATTATTCGAGCTCGAAAATATAATTTGTGTTATTCTAAGCTCTCTGAGCTCGAAGAGTTAGCTGTTCTAAGCTTTTGAGCTCTTCGAGTTCTAAAGTCTGATAGAAGTTCAATAAAACACTATTTTTTGAATTTTCAAACTGCAATTACTTTTGAATGAATGAACCGATTTTCACGCGACTTGCAGAAATCGACGTAGTTTTTCAAATCCTGTGATATACTTTTGAACATAAATTGATCAAACCGGAAAATCCAGTGTAAATCGAAAAAATCACTTTTTCCGATTTTTTTCGTCAACGATAACTATTCCAACAAAACCACATTTGAAAAAATTTTTTTTTGTAGTTTTTTTGAGATTTCTCAAAATCTAGCGGTCCGAATCGGTCTAAATCATATATAAAATCTGAGTTTGGTTAAGCCCTTTCGAATGGTGCCAACCGCGATGAAATTGGTCAAGACGTTCAAAAGTAATGAGAGGTTTACATCCACAAACATACATACATACATATATGCAGACACTATGGCGGGAATAGTTAGTGCAGCTTCTTAGGATCTCAATACGTCGAGATCTGATGAAAACTCGATTTTCGAAAAACGAGGTAAAACCAATAACTTCCCGATTTTTGAAAATTTTCAATTTTCTTAGTGGGAAGCTAAAAAAGGCTCATTTTTGAGTTTTTTTTTATCTCCGCTATTTTCTTATTTATCAATAAATATTAATATCCGTAGTTTATGCAATAGCTACTTCGATATTGAGGGTAAATAATTTTGGTAACTCAATCATTTTAACTCAATAGATTGAATCAGTATTCATAATTTACTTGTAAAAATCGAAATTTCAAACCAGAAAAATTACACTAAATAAATTTTTGAAGATTAGATAATTAATTCTGTTGACTTATCGGTTTGATGGTAAAAAATTCATGTAAGTTTCACGTACTAACCAGAGTATAATAATAATTGCTACTATACAGAACTACTCGAGAACAACAATACTTCGCAAAATTGACAATAAAAAATTTTTTCAATTCTTACAATGACTATAAATTATAAATCTAAATATAAAATATATGATGCCCTATAAAGTTATTTCATCTTAGTATCAAAAGATTGATGTCAAGGATTGACTAAAACAAAATCCCATAAACCACACCTGA